TCTCTTCAGTCTAAGCTTGAATTTTGCTATGAGAAGCTGATGATCAGAACCGCAGTCAGCTCCAGGTCTTGTTTTTGCTGACTGTATAGAGCTTCTCCATCTTTGGCTGCAGAGAATATAATCGATCTGATTTCGATATTGCCCATCTGGTGATTTCCATGTATAGAGTCGCCTCATGCTCCATTACAATGGTTAAACAGAATGAAAGATGCCAACCCACGTCTAACATGCTGGTATTTAAGTTTACAACCATTTGCCTTCCAAGTAAAATATAAAAAGGGGAGTAATCATGTTAACGCAGATTATTTTTCACGACAGGGAGAAGGGCATGCGCGCGGTGACATCGAGCGGACGGCCCACTCCTCCGGGGGGACGTGTGAAGGTGCGGAAAATAAGAGTGTGCCGTCCACAGAAGTAAAAGTGGAAAAAGAGGATGGAAAAAGGAATCGACGAGTTAGTGGCGAAAGTGAAGAAGAAAAGGGAAAGGAGATGGAAGAGAAAGAGGGGGAGGTGAAAATAGAAGTGTGCCTGGCAGACAAGGAGTGGGAGGAGTCTGAAGTGACAGTTGGAGGGGGTTATAAGAACGAGGAGGGGGTGGTATGGTTTAGTTCGGTGGTGGAAAACTATGAGAAGGAAGAGGGAGGAAAGGCGTAGAGCCTTTGAAAAGGTCCGCACTCAGGGGTTGTTAAGAGATTTTCCCCACTTGAAAGAAGGGGGCCTATTACCTGATCCTCCGGCTGTGACAGGGAATAATCCGCGTAAGTTGATAAAGGAGTGGAATGTAATTGTGGCACCACAACAGAAGCCATTCATACCGACTGTAGTAAAAATAACCCTCATTGGAAGTTCATAATCTTCCTTTCCTCAACAAATTCACACACAACTCAGTCTTTTTCCTTACAGCTGTAAATTCTAGCATGGAAAACTCTCACGCAAGTTATTCAAAGTGCAGGATGTTTCCAAATGTAAACCATTAACGCAGGGGGATAAATTACCCCAAAAATGAACAAATAAGTAAAAATAAATAAAAAATCAACCCATCAACCTTCAAGGTTTCATATAGGTTTTAGGTAAATTTCAGTCCAGTTTCCATCTTCTTTATTCATTTTATTTATTTATCCATTTGACTTGTATGCCACCCACACTCTGCAAGATATTATTTTAAAAATATTATTTTTCTTATAATATGCTAAAGAAATCACTGTAAGTGTTGACTGCTAACTAAAGCATTCCCCTCTAAACTATATAGAATTGAACATAATATGCTAAAGAAATCACTGTAAGTACTGACTGCTAACTAAAGCATTCCCCTCTGTTAGCATAAAGTAAAAGAAGAAATCTAAGCAAGTATTAAAATCATTCACTGCAACACCAGTTGTGAAAAGGTACCTAAATGTTTCCTGAATGGAAAAAAAAATAAGTGGATGTCAACAGTTGAAAAAGACATATATTGGAAAAGACATCTAATTACTATACGTCCAATTCAGGGAATATATAAATCAAATTTTTAATGGATGATCAGCCTCCTTTTGTAACAGAAAATATCACTTCATATAAAAGAACACGCAACTAAAGGGTTCACATCCTTTGCTTCTAACCCAGGCTGGCTCATGTCCACTCAGATCTATCTAACAAAATATTTAATTTTGCCCATCTAGATTAGCAGTTTGATATCCTAAAAACAGCAAAGGGAACGTAGCACCATAGTTCTTCCAGTCAACAAACCCCTTACCGCAATTCAAAATCTGTCTAATATTCATATTGACATTACTCCTATGGTTTTTCCCTCATTAGTGGATCTGATTAATCGGACAAGCACTACAGTTGACAAAAGGTTTTTCACATTCCATGGATTTTAACGGTTTCTCCTTTGGACCTTTTAGATGGGAATGAAGCCTAGGACTTTGACAGAGACTCCTTCTACATATCAAGTATTTCTATGATTTCTCCCCCAGATGAGTTCTATGATGAGAACTCAGGGTAGAACCATGACTAAAGCTCTTTCCACATTCCATGCATTTATAGGGTTTCTCCCCTGTATGAGTTCTTTGATGTGAACTAAGGGTACCTCTCTGACTGAAACTCTTGCCACATTCCATGCATTTATAGGGTTTTTCCCCGGTGTGAGTTCTTTCATGTTCATTAAGGTTACCACTTTGACTGAAGCTCCTTCCACATGCCATGCATTTGTAAGGTTTCTTCCCTGTGTGAGCTCTTTGATGTCTGCTGAGGCCACTGCTTTTGCTGAAGCTCTTTCCACATTCCATGCATTTATAGGGTTTCTCCCTTGTGTGAATTCTTACATGTGACCTAAGGCTACTTGAGTGACCGAAGCTTAATCCGCATTCCATGCATTTATAGGGTTTCTCCCCGGTGTGAGTTCTTTCATGGTCACTAAGGTTACCACTTTTATTGAAGCTCCTTCCACATGTCATGCATTTGTAAGGTTTCTTCCCTGTGTGAGCACTTTGATGTCTCCTGAGGTGGCTGCTGTTGGTGAAGTTCTTTCCACATTCCATGCATTTATAGGGTTTCTCCCCGGTATGAGTTCTTTGATGTGAACGAAGGGTACAGCTCTGACTGAAACTCTTACCACATTCCATGCATTTATAGGGTTTCTCCCTGGTGTGAGTTCTTTCATGTACACTAAGGTTACTGCTATGACTGAAGATCCTTCCACATGTCATGCATTCATAAGGTTTCTTCTCTGTTTGAGCTCTTTGATGTCTCCTGAGGTGACTGCTCTGACTGAAGCTCTTTCCACATTTCATGCATTTATACTCTTTCTCCTCTCTCAGTGGTTTTTCACATGGAGTACAATTTTTGTACATGGTGCTGCTCTTCCCGTGTTCTGTCCCTTGATTTTGTTTGTCCCTTGAGTTGATTCTTCCAGTTCTACTGTAATCTGGGGTACACATCAATGCTTATCAGCCCATCGAAAATATTCTCCTTCCTTTTTCCTCTTGGTATTTTTCAGATGGTGCGAAATGCAGAAACATCAACAGGAGGCAGAACTGAAGATTTCTTTCTTCCTGTCGTTGCCTTCACTCTTGGGTGTTTTTTCCCTGAAAGAACTATTAGCTCTATAGAAATCCAATTGTCTTCTTTGTTACCTTATGGAGAGAGAAAAAAAGAGATGAAGGACTACGAAGGAGTAGTGGAGCACAGAACGGATTCACATGGGGAAATCAGCCAAGGTATTTTCTTGATCTTTGACTGACATGAGAAAAATCCCAAAGGAGAACCAAGGCCAGCAAAATGAAAGGGAAAGGATCCTTCTGTTTCAGTAAAAAAAGAAAAAGAGGAAGCAATGTTACAATTTTCTCAAACAAAATGTTCTGGATCCTGTTTTTCATTGGACTCTGCAGACAAATGGGAACTGAGCCATAAGGAACAGAAAACCTTTCCGAATAAATGTATTTGTGAAGGCTTTCACATCCTGTTGTTAGGGAAACCAACGTATGAGAAATGTTCAAGAGGTATCAAAATTTTTGAACCGTTTGGATCCTCTGTTTACTTGAATGACAAATATTTTAATTGGCGACATAAATATTTAAAGAATTGAAAAGAACAGTGTTCCTGATCATTTCATTTACACTCTCCCAGCCAATGAGAAAGCCTCCTTTATTGGGGAGACATTGAAAAAAGAGACCAAAGAAGTAAAGAAAGTTTTGCCCAGGAAGCTCCTAATAGAGTAATGAGACCATGTCCAGATTCCTCAGAGACCAATCATGGGAAGAACCAGGTGGCTGTCCATGTTCACAGTGATACAGGCCGCCAAATACAGTGGTGCCCCGCAAGACACTGTTAATCCTTTCCATTGAAATCGCTGTCTTGTGAAAACATCGTCTTGCAAAATGCGATTCCCCATTGGAATGTATTGAAATCTGTTTAATGCATTCCAATGGGGACAAATTGTCGTTGTTTTGTGAAAATCGCCCATAGGGAAGCCATTTTGCGAAGCGCTGATCAGCTGTTAAAATCGCTGTCTTGCGAAGCATTGGTCCCGAGGAAAAAACCGTCTTGCGAAGCACGGTCTGAAACATCGTATAGCAAAAATCACCCATAGGAAACACTGTTTTGCGAAGTGCTGATCAGCTGTTAAAATTGTCGTCTTGTGAAGCATCGGTCCCGAGAAAAAACCCATCTTGCGAAGCACAGTCCGAAACATCGTACAGCGAAAATTGCCCATAGGAAACACTGTTTTGCGGCTACAGCGATCGCAAAAACTCATGATCATGCGGATTTGTCATTTTGCGAGGTAATCATCTAGTGGGGCACCACTGTATGGGAATCCTATTCAGAGTTCTGGGAACTTGCTTAAGTTCCAGTAAAATACACAGCGGAAGGACAGCTCCTTAAGATTAGAATTAGCTGTAGAAGTCCCCTTCTTTACCCAATTGTTCTTGGTATCCACCCTCACCAAAGCCTAGCACTTTAGAAAATAAGACCAGGAGGCAATCTTTAAGTATAAAAGGTTTTGTGTATTTTACTTACTTAAAACAGGCACTCATTAGGCTTAAAGTGGATAGAAAGGAAAATAGTAAAAATAAGGTGTGTTTCCTCAGCCCATGGCTGGGCGGATCTCTAGGGTTCAGAGATCCAGCCTGAAGATCTAGCATCTTCCAAGGTGAAAAAAGGGTACAACACAAAATGGAGTCTCTCAAAACATGTGAGGAGGAGAAGGGAAGAAACAAGGGCAGAGTTTATCTAGCCCAGCAAAAACAAACCCCTCTGATTAGTTAGCATGCAAACAAACAATCAAATAGTCTATAATGGAAGCCCTTCCTCCCATATCTTGAAATTTACATCAAGATTGCTAACTAGCCAACACAAAGAAGTAAGGAAAGAGAAAGTTTTGCCCAGGAAGCTAGTAATAGAGAAATGAGACCATGTCCAAATTCCTCGGAATTGTGGGAAGAACCAGGTGCCTGTCTGGGTTCACAGTGGTCCAGGCCACCAAATATGGGAATCCAACCTGGGCTGGATCTTTCACCAGGAAAGCAATGTTTGGGTGCTAAGGTTACTTCTATCCTAGTGGT